TTGACCATCCCAATGTCGTCCGATTATTGCTATATATTGACCATATTCGTTCAAGTAACTCTCGTATTTTTGCGATATTAGTACTAGAGCTTGGGGAAAACTTTAATAAATCGGATAATTTAGAAAATACAGTTGGCATTTTCTTTTTCAGAGAGATTTAGTTTTGAAGGAAAAAACCTTATAGTATATTATTATATGTTACAGTGACCGATGTTTTATTTATTGATTATCTTATCGTACCATCATGCACGATTTAACATCTAGTGATGGACACTACGTACAAATGCGGTTGCTGCACTTAGATTGGGGAAGGTACACATTATATTATCAGAGTTAAAATTTTTCTACAAATTCTTGCTTTTATTTTTGAAGTACTTATTTAAAGAATGCGATTACTAACAAATAATTTTATTATTAATCTTGTGATTTGTGCTAAGGATTCTTTCAATATTTGGTTATATTTTTTTTTCTTAAAAAAATTTCCGACTGACTAAATCACGCCAACAAATCAAAAAAAGTAATTTAAAGTTTCAAATTAAAGAACCTACAGCTAAACAAAGATATAAACTGTATAAATAATCTCTAAAAGATGAGAATTCAAATAAAAAATTTTTCAATTACCTGAATCCGTGGAATTAAAATCACATGTTAGTAGATGTTACACAGGGTAGATGTTACACGTAAATCGTGCAAATTTTGCAAATTTAACGATATTAAATTTGAAAGATTATCTGCTAAATAAAATGAGGTTAAGAAGTCACACCAAACTTCTTGAGGCTCAAAGAAAAGAACAACATTCTAGTGATACGTATGAATTTAATAAGTCAGAAGAAGAGCAGCAAAAAAATTTAGATCAAAAATTAGATAAGGAGATAGACGAACATGATAAAAGAGAAGAACAACAACAATCCAGTGACGCGTATGAATTTGATAAGCCAGAGGAAGAGCAGCAAACAAATATAGAAGATCAAAAATTAGATAAAGAGGAGGACGAACATGATAAAAGAGAAGAACAACAATCCAGTGACGCGTATGAATTTGATAAGCCAGAGGAAGAGCAGCAAACAAATTTAGAGGATCAAAAATTAGATGAGGAGGAGGACGAACATAAGGATGAAGGTTTGAGATTTATACAACTACTTTTTTATATACGGTGTGTCTCCTATTAAAGGTGCCCATTTTTACATTTAGACAATTTTAAGTAAGAATACATATAGTCTTTAGATTTAAAATTTCTTTTATTATTATATAATCAATTCTTATGACTTATATAAATCTTTTCATTGAATATCATCTATCAAAAAATCAAATAAAAAAAATTTTTTAAAATGGTAAAAATAGGCCCTTTTAATAGAAGACACTCCATATTACTTGATGCTTGACAATAAAAAAAGCTTATGGGCGAAAATTTTTTATGGGAATTTGGTGTTTATTAAATAAATTGATAATGAAATCAGAAAATTATCAATTATATTAAGACAAATAATTAATACGAGATCATAACGGTTTCATAAGCAGAATAAGCATAATAAACTTAATAGAACAATTAACCAATCAATAATTAAGATCTATAAAAAAAAATTAATACGATTTATAAGCGGTTTAATAAGGGTTTTATAAGCAATTTATAGCTAAGAAAGGCACTTTTATATTTTACTTCCGGCAATTACATAATATCACTTAAATGATTGGATTAAATTTTATGAATTCTTAACATCTAATTTTTAATTATTTCCAAATCAAAAAAATCCGTCCATACGGTCAGATCTAACAAAAGATGAAATCATGAAGCCTTTGACTCCTCAGAAGTTGGCTGAATTTGAAAAGGCCCAAAATAAAACCGGATTAGTATACTTGTCGCGAATTCCACCATTTATGAAGCCGGCAAAAATCAAGCATTTATTAAGTCAATTCGGTGAAATAGGAAGAGTCTACCTTGCACCTGAGGGTACATTATCAGATCTAATTGAATGATTATAAATTTATATGTATGATTATAAATTTAAGTATCATTCCACAAATGTTTTAATTCTTTAGATCCCAAAATAAAAGCCCGGCGGATAAAATATAGAGGAAATAAAAAACAGAACTACACGGAAGGATGGGTTGAATT